CAGAGCAAGGGTGTTGAAAACTACAAGGCTCGGCAAGGTTAGCCAAAACCTCGAGATTCGACTTGACCCTTACCCAGCTAGTAGCAGCAGCAGTCGTAGGAGCAGTGGTGGTGGTGATGGTGGTGGTGGTGCTGTAAATACGCAAAAGCCCTGAAGACCCTGTTCGGCCCAGGGCCTCCTTTTGTTCGGGGATGCCTTTGCAGAGGAAGTCTCGCGACTCGGCAGGGATTCATGGTTCAGGCGCTTTGGGGATTGCGGTCGGGGGATGACGGTTCCGGCTAGAAGTTGAACTTTCGGATCGGGTTTCGGCTTTGCAGTTCAGGGTTTCCCGCAAAGTCAGGCAAGCGCCTGCGCAAAGTTTGGCTGGTGCAGCAACGGGTACATGACATGTTTTGTTGATGCGTGTATGGACATGCTTAACGCGGTGTCCTTTTCTTGATTTAGACGTTGAGGAGGTGTCGCGCACAAACGCCGAAGCATTTGCGCCCTGACTTACTGATGTACATATCACTGTTTCACTGTTTTGGGCGAAGAGTCGAGTTGACGCAGCCCGTCTTGTATGTGTATATATGTATATATACATATAATACACGTACACATACACACATAGGTACACTGTCAGGAGTGTTTTCGGGACGCCTAGCCTGGCAAATCTCTCGCAGATCCCGATGTTTGAGTCGCCATCACTGCCAGACCCGCATCCCCAGCCAACAAGCAGTGAAGCCTCCATCCTGGTCCATCCTCATCTCAACAAGAGGACTCGGGAGTTCTTCGCTCCGCCAAGAACCCTTGAACCACTCCCGAAGCTGGGTTGGGGAGCGAAGAACTGCAGGTCGATCAGCGCCCCTGAAAAGCAGGCCTTCCGGAGTCTATGGCAGTGATCATCGCAATGCTGGCAATTTCAAGATACGGAAAGGTGATGTAAGACGAAGCAGCCAACAGCAGCAGTCCTCACATGGAATCATGAGGCTTCCTTTCAATTAAAGACTGCTGCTCAAAGAAGAGCTGGGTTTGTCAACATGGGTGGGTTGTTTCAGGGATATCAGAGTTTGCGTTCGGCATTTAGCTCAAGTGTTCAGCGGCTTGAGGGGTTTAGACCAGGTTGGCGGTCTCGAATCTTCGCCTTCAGGCTTGGTCTAGAGGAGGCTAGTTCTTCACGTCTGTGGGTCGAGCGTTGTGCGTTCAGCCGGAGCTTTGTTTAATGAGCCCACAACGTTCCAAATTAGGTTTACTTTCGTACCCGAAAATCTTACTCGAAGTATGCAGGTTCTCGATCCCAAGATCTAGATTCACTCGCAACGGACTGAACCGTGAAGCTCGAAGCCCTGAACCCTTTAGGGTTTATGAGTTTATGAGCCCGAAATGCGACAGCCTTGAGGACTTTCCCTCTGCTCGATTTCGAACATCACAGGGGCTTCAAGACAAGGCACAAGAATCTAGAGCAGACCTACATAGCGCAACCCTGAACCTTTGAAGCCAGTGGGGACACAGCCGTCAAGCCATAAAGCCTTATGCCCCGGAAGGCCGTGTGCTCACAAGCTTGGACACTGACAAACCCAGAAGCAAAATCTCCAAAGCCCTCCAGAGCCTTGCGAGCTTCACGTACCAGCAGGCGCTAGCTGCGGAAAGGCGCAGGGCATCGGAGGCTGGTTCAGGTGTTTAAGGCTTCAAGGTTTTTGGTTTCGGCCTGAGGGTTTTTCCTTGGGCGGCGATTGATCCTGAAACTTCGTTTAAATTGGGCTTTACTTAGTAAGTTTTCCACGGCTTCGAGTTTCGTCTTGGAGTTGGCCTTTCAGAAACACGCTGTCCCACTGCAGCTCAAAAACCTAACCATAGAGCCTCAAATTCCCAAACCCCGGAAGCCCGTAGAACCTCGTGAGTCTGAGGACTTGGGCTTGCTGAACCGAAGCCTGCAGCCGCAAGACCTCCAAGTCGATCTTAAGCGCTCGCAGGCCAAATTCGCTGCCTGGCAAAAGCGAGCACCGGCTTTGGCACAGCCACCGGCCCAGATTGATGCGGGGCGCAGGGGACGCTATAGGGTTCCGAGCCCAAAACCCTGGTTGTTTCATGAACCTTTAAGTTATATTCTATTCACGAGTAGACCATGCACCACGCACCTATTGCGTTGTTTGCATTTTCTCAAATAGCTGTTGCTTCCTATGATCGGTGCTTGGGGCATTTGAAGGCCAAACTTATTGGCATACGACGTTTATTGTGATCCCCTGACCCAGCTTTGTTTCTGCATATAGATAGATAAGCAGATAGATAGATAGATACATAGATAGATAGATACGTAGAAACATACAAGCATGAGGGATTAAAAACTTTTGTAGGGCATTGTTTTGCTTCAGTCAGGGCCCAGGGTTTGAGGAAGTCGAGCCTTGGGCTTTAGTGTGTTCAGAATATTGCGAGGTTCTTCTGAAAGTAAGGCGTGGCCCGAGCTCAGGGCCAACGCCTCTGCACGTTGCTCCCGAAGCGCGTTGTTAATTGTACTGTGAGGTTGCATCCTGGACACGGGGCTTCTGAAACCCATACCCTAAATTCAGGCTCGAAGTGCGGCCGACCCTTGCCAACAAGTCTGATTCTAGCTGACGTATCTCTCTACCCCTCTAGGTCTCTGGCTCTCTATCTCTCGATCTGTCTATCCCTCTAGCTCTCTATCTCTGTCTCTCTATCTCTCTATCTCTCTATTTCTCCATCTCTCTATCTGTCTCTCTCTCTCTCTATCCCTCTCTCTATCTCTCTCTCTCTCAAACTCTCTCTGTCTCTCTCTCTGTCTCGAACTGTCTCTGTCTTTCTCTGTCTATCTCTCTCTATCTTTCTCTGACTCTATCTCTCTATCTGTCTCGATATCTCTCTCTATCTCTCTCTCTCTCTGCCTCTCTCTCTCTATCTCTCTCTATATCTCTCTGTATCTCTCTCTCTCTCTATATCTCTATATCTCCATGTCTCTATATTTCTATAACTCTACATCTCTATCTCTATCTCTATCCCTATCTCTATCTCTATGTCTGTCTCTGTGTCCCTATTCTTTGTCTCTCTCTCTCTCTATCCCGCTATCTCCCAATCTCCCTATCTCCAAATCTTTCATATCTTCCTATCTCCCTATCTATCTATCTCCCTGTCTCCCTATCTCCCTGTCTCTCTGTCTCCCTATTTCCCTCTCCCTATTTCCCTATTTCCCTATCTCCCTAGCTCTCTAGCTCTCTACCTCTCTATCTCCCTATCTCCCTACCTCTCTCTCTGCCTCTCTATCTCTATCTCTCTATCTCTCTATCTCTTTATCTCTTCTCTATCTCTCTATCTCTCTATCTCTCTGTCTCTCTATCTGTCTATCTTTGCTATCTCTATCTGCTAATCTACGTAGCTGGTAATGCACACGCGTGTGTATATTATGTATGAAAAGATATGTTAACATTTATACAAGCGCCAGGAAGTTCAATCGCCAGCTGCGCCCACAACGCCATCAGAATCTCCCGCTCCTTGGCACTAGATCGTTAATTCGCTCGCATGGGATTATGTAAGGTTTCGGCTTCAGGAGCTGGGTCGCTAACTTCATTTAGGAATTGGTTCAGGATTTAGGACTTGCGGCGCCCCCTGCTCGTCCTCCATCAATGTCTCAGTGAGTGAGGATCCTGACGTCAAAGCCAAACTCAAACCCAACATTTTGCGCCCCAAAGCCGCAAAATCCACAAGTCTCAAACCCGAAGCCAACAGCCCCAAACTCTAAGCCACATGATGCCTCCACCCTAAAGCCAACATCCCAGTCCATGTACCCGAACTCCAAATCCCAAAGCCCCATGACACCTTTGCATAGAAGTTTCTGCCAGGGCCGCGCCTCCCGTCGAGGACCGAAGATGTACAAAGATGTCCCAGGAGGTCGCAAAGGATAAGTAGAAATGAAATGAACAGCAATAACTTATCAGGGGCGCTGGCAGTACTCTCAGGGTCAGTGCACCCACTGGTTGAAACCCTGAGCTGACACTTACTGCAAGCTGATAAACCGATTTCGAAACGGTAGGTCCGCACCCATAATCCCTCTGTCCAGAGTTCTTGGTGATCGCCACACCATACGCAATATGGATGTGGAGGGAGCACAACTGCATGCTCCTTGCAACGCCTCGTCACTGGAGGAATGCGCGCCTTATGCCGATTCATGTTTTACTCGAACGACCGGCAAGTTTTGTGGCTCGCTGGCCCGGCCTCTCTCTTTTCTTTCACGGTCTTCGCTCCTTGTCGACTCAATCTCCCGTCGCGCCTCCTGATACCTCGTCTCCTTCGTTTCTTGACGCATCACTGGATCAGAGTTGCCCTGCCGAGCGGTCAGATCGCGAAGCTGCACTGCACTTTGGGACACACTTCCTTCCGAGTTTTGCGGGGATCCTGATTCGGCTTCTGCTGCTGCCATTCTGTGAAGCTATCCTGACTGCCCGTGTTTGCTGTCCAAAGCAGCCTTCCGCCCACTGAATTTCTCTTCGAGGGCTCCGCTTTATCGCTTGAGCGTGCTGTTGGCGCATTAGCAGAGGGAGCTACCCTTTTCTGCGGGACTTTGACGCGCTTCGGGCTGAGGTGCTGGACCTGCGAGCTGAGGTGCTCCCTGTGCAAGCCCGGGTGTCAGAGCTTGAGGACCAGAACCAGAGCTTTGATTTGGTGGATAGCTCGGAGGCTGCCGCCCTTTCGGCCCCTGCTGCGGCTGACATGACTTCTTCAGCTTCGGCTTCTTCTCTCCAGGACCTCCACCATCTTCAGCTGAACCGCCCCTTAGTCGGGAGGAAATCTGCCGGCAGGTGGGTGAAGTCGGCGAGCTTTGGAGGTCACCAGCGCAGAGCGTCTGGCCGAGACTCCTTGGAGTTGGCTTCGAGGCACGGGATGGTGATTCGTGAGTACGGAGCCGCATTCACTCGCTTTTCCGATTGCAAAAACTTGGTGAAGCAAGGGAAGGACGCAGGTGACATGAAGTTTGTTTTTTGGGCGGGAGACTTTCAGCTTCCTCCTGATCTATGAGCGCAGAAGTGGGCGAGGAGGACGGGGTCGACGGCAGGGTAGTCTGCGGCAGGGTAGGATGGGATATGGCCGCCGCATACACGAAACCCTCACCCAACCTGTGTGCATTTGTGCTTGTTTCAGGATGCAGCACCGGCCGGCATCCAATCGAAGTTTGCTACCTGGATCTTTGAGCAAGCCGGTTGCTGTGGAGGTGGCCGGCGCTGCTCGAGACGATCGCTCCACCCTTTTGGGAGACCAACGCCTGAAGGTATGGCTTGGGTTCCTGCGAGCCTCCCTTGTCGAGGCGCTAGTTTTCGGGCACGAGGGCGAGGTGGACGTGACTTGCACCATTTCGGACGGAGGATCTGGCTATGTGCCCCACGCCGTGGCCCTGACGGCTTGTTAAGGACAAGTTTCAGTTTGCCGCGGCTACCGAGGGCGAAGCAGCACAGGGGCCACCAGCAGCACCGCAGGATCCGGAACCTTGGTTCCAAAGCAGGAACAGTCTCTCGGCACCTTGGCTTCATCTATGCAGGCCCTTACTGCGGAGCGTGTGGGAAAGGCAAGTCCGGTGTCTCAGATGGGGCTGTCGCCGTGTCTGACCCTCCGTCTTGCTTCTCTCTCTGCCCTCTTCTCGCCGCCATGGCCCAGCGCCCTTATGGTGACTTGTGCTTCACGTCGGGCCGCGTGCTGAGCAGCTACAGGCATTGCATGATCGCGGTCCAGCGAATAGTGCTTGGATCAAAGGCTTACCGCAACCTGGCTTGGGAAATGGTTTCGAGATGGGAAGCTTTGCAGCCCCCTGTGCACAGATGCCCGCTGCCAGCGCCGATGCTGAAGGCGCCTTGTGCGCACTTGCCTGCGTTTGGCTCATGAGGCGATGCGCTGGCGTCACCTGCTTGCCTTCTTATGTGTCGCGGATCGGCGCGATCCTTCGCTGCCGAAGGTCTGACTTGTTGCTTCCTGAGGATCTGCTGGATGATGAGCACGGTGCAGTGTACTTGACCTTTAGGGTTCCAAAACCTCTATAAGGGGACGGCCCAAAGTGCAGCATACTAAGGTCTCTGATGCCGGGGCTGTTGGTTTTATCCCCTGGAGATTGCTTTGGCACTCTTCACCGGCAGCCTACAGAAACAGGTGGGATGTGCTTCTCAGGCATCTGGATGTCCCTCAAGGTTTGAGCTTAACGCCCGTGGTTGCGCGGCGGCGCTGCTGTTCACCTGTGCCGCTCAGGGGCTCTCTTGAGCGACCTTCAGTGGGCTATGCGCTTGAAACACCTGGGAACTTTGGAACATAACTTACAAAAGGTGGCGGCTGTGACAGCTTTGACAGATGTTTCCTCACATGGTCGATCTTTGATACGCATTGCGGCCAAGCTGTTTGATTCACTGAGCTGCCCGGCGTAGTGTAAAAGTTTCTTCCAGATGTTTGCATCACTGCACCATGTGTGCACCCTACAGATAGGGTGCACATATATTTATATATATATATAGATATATTTCCACACGTAACGACGCTATCGCTTTTCTGTGTACAGGGCGAACGGACTGCCACTTTCAGTGGCCGCCCCTGCTCGACAGTGGTCCCTTGGCACCTGTCTGGCCTCTCCAATAGTGGACTCTCGCCTCTGGTTACAGAGCTTTCGATCCCGCAGGGTTTGCTCTGCTTCTCGTGAAGGCACTTGCAGCTTCGGATTGCAGGCATGGAGGGAAAGTGTACAACATGATAATCGAGTTTCCGCAGGCTTTCGCTTAGATTCTGGATGCGTTGCGAGAGGGAGGATGGACTCATCTTCATTTGGAAACTTTCAAAGCGGGGTTAAAACAAGGGCTGGTGCGAGCTCCCGTCAGCAGCTTCAGCTTGCTTGCATTTGGATAGGCCAAGCATAGGCAACCATTTTTGGATTTGGGCTACATGTCGTGGGTTGATACGGGCGCAGTAGGATGTTGCCGAGCTTTGTTGAAGGTGCCCGAGGTTGAAACGGATGGGTTTTGGTGTTTGAAGTTAATGGCTTCCCCCTAGCATGAAATATGATTTTGGGCCAGCAACATCTGATATTAGTGGGCACCTGGTGCCCAGAGAACTGAGCTTTGAACCCCTTAGGTTCTAAGCCTGAAAGCTTGGACTTTTTGATTGGGTAAAGCCTTAAGCCAAAAGCCCTAAGCTGGGAGGGAGGCAGGCTACTCAATTGATTACAATTAGTCAAAAACAGGGAGGGGGATGTAAAAATAACCCCCCTAACATAAAACTTCCCCTCACCCGAACTAAACCTGCAAAGCTCCAAATTCAATACTCTGGGCACTTTCAGTTCGAATCCCCAAAGCCCTGATCCCTGGACCCCAATTTACGGTTGCGTTTGGGCAGGAGGCCTTCCCAAGCACCCCGGCGAGTTTACCCAAGGACGCCTTGTTGGCATGCCTAGGATTTGCGGGTTTCAGAGGTCCAGGATCATGATCGCCATCATTGTCATCAGCGTCAGCATCAGCATCAGCATCAGCATCAGCATCAGCATCAGCATCAGCATCACCAGCTTCATCAGCATTATAAGCGTCATCAGCATCATCAGCATCAGCATCAGCATCAGCATCAGCATCATCGTCATCAGCGTCAGCATCAGCATCAGCATCAGCATCAGCATCACCAGCTTCATCAGCATTATAAGCGTCATCAGCATCATCAGCAGCATCGTCATCATCATCATCAACGTCGTCATCGCGGTCATCATCACTATGTTTATCATCATCGTCATCAATATCATCATGATCATCCTAATCATCATCATCATCAACATCATCATGGTCATCACAATCACCATCGTCATCGTCGCCGTCATCATCATCACCATCACCATCACCATCATCATCATTACCACAAGAAGAACATATGCTGGTTTTGACGCGTTAGAAGACTAGTGTAAGGGTAGAAGATAACAGCTTGCACGGTGGTTGTCTCATTAGTAACGACAAGTGGGGCCCTTCGACTTTGACGAGGGTTAAATGCCCGATACTAGCAGGCAGCACCTGTGGTGCCTGGACACATGGAGTCGTAAAACCAGCGACCCGTCCTCCAGGCGTCAGAGGATCAGTGGCAGAAAGATTATGAGGCCAGTTGGACTTAGTTGTTTCCGTCGAATAAGGGTTGCGGGGTGAAAGCTTAAACTTTCAATGCTTCGGGCTTCAAGACGGGCATCTGGGTTGAGCGCTATGCAGACGGGCTAAGGCCTGAAGACGTTGGGCTTGGGGGTGCAACCTGACAGCTGTATGTCCCAAGCTCCAGATCAGCCAACTCCCAGCTTCAAGCCAGCAGGCTTTCATGGCGCTGCAGAAGGCGAAAGGCCACCTAGGCTCAGAGATAGCTCGATGGTGCTGGACTCACACGGTTCCAAGTTCAGGTTTGGGGGCGTGTGTAGCTACTGTCGAGATTAGGGTGCAAGGTCCAGGATGTAAGCGTGACGCCTCGACGCAGAACTTCATTGCGATCTTTCATTCTACACTGCACCTCGATCGGTGCGTGAAAGATTCCGTTGCAGGCGCCAGGTGGGACTACTTACACCGCAGTTCAATCTAAGCCGGACTGTACGTGCTGGAATGTTGCAAGTGTGCATGCTCAAGCTTGCAGTGATGGCCGCGGGTTCTGGCTCCGTGCTGTACGCCAGAGCTAGCATTAGTAGCATCGCCATCATACGAAGACTGCTACCCTAACTGCGCCTCCGTCTGCCCGTGTGGGAGGTGACGCCAAAGGCCCCTCTCTTCTGACTCTTTCTGGGAGCTGCGTCCTCAAGGGATGTCTTAGTGGCAAGCTTTCTTTCGTGCCAGGTTAGGTGTCGCGACTCGCCAGATTCAGGCCCACGAGCTGTGGAACTCGATAAGGCCAAAGCCGAGTAGACAGCGAGAGCCGTCATCAAGTTGCGAGTTGTGCGGGGCCTTTCGCCGCTGCTACCCGGCCACCACATCATGCTAGTTTTGCAGGTCGCTTCTACATAGCCTTAATCTGTCTTGCAAAGCCTTCCGCTCGCCCCCGAACTTTTCGCAAAGGTCAGGAAGGCCTTGAGGCGAAAGTGGCGAAGGTCCTCGAGGACATTGTGAAATCCTTCCGTTTTTGGGCTTTAGGAACTTTCAGGGACTTTCCAGGAACTTCAACAAGCCCAGGGTATAGTGATTTTGGGTGCAGTGGGGTAGGCGGAGATGATTTTGATGGCTGGTGGGCTTGAGCTCTTAAGTCCGAAATCTCTTAAGCCCCGAAGCTCAAAACCTTGAAGCATAGAGCCCCGTTGAAAGCAGAGACAGCTGTAAGTAAGTGAAACTCAGACTGGCCCCTCGTGCAGGAGACGAGGCGGGAGGATGAGCTCCACAGCGCGGGATATGCAGAAAGGCACGCCGAAACCATCCCTCCGCGAAGTTCTTTGAAGCTTGAAAATTTGAACATAGAGAAGCGCGGTTGACACGCAAACCATTTACCCAAACTAACGCTGAAGACCTACAACCCAGAGACTAGCATTGTTGTGGGATGCTTAACGCCCGGGCCGGAACAACAAGCAATGGTATCCCCTGAAAGTCTCTCTTCAATCTTCGATGGTATTCTCAAAACTCTTTTCAATTTTTTGAGGCAAAACCTGAGTTTTCGGCATCTAGGCGTCGTCTAACTTTTCTAGCTTTTGAGATTTGGGTTCGGCTTTCGGCTTGTGGGCTTCTAGGTTTAGGCTTCGGATGGAGGGTCTCAGTTCGTGGTTTGGAATTGATTCGTTGGCCTGCCGTGTGTCCTTTCCACCCGACGAGTGATAAGCATCGTACTACTCAGGTTCACCACTGCCGCCGCAAACCTCCTCATCAGCAACCAACAGATGACAATAGCAGATGACAATCATAGCAAGAGTAATAACAACAATAATCATCACAATCATAATATTGTTAATAATACTACTAACAATACACATGAGGATACTACTACTACTACTACTACTACTACTACTACTACTACTGCTACTACCGCTGTAGTAATAATAGACCTTAAGTTTGAGGCTCCGCCAGGCCCAGTGGCTGAAGCTCCGGCAGGCGAAGGTGCCTTCCAATGGAAACACCAGGTTCTTTGTAAGGCACGTAATTTAAAGTGCGAGAAGGAGGCGGCAGTGACCTCGGTTAGGTATCTTAAGTCAAATCCGTGCACAGAAGCCTGACTTTGGAGCGTGTTTCCATGTTTAGAGTGCAAAGCTTTTCTTCAGTTTGAGGTTGCGAACGTGGGGTGTTTTTTGGGGTGACAGGGTCATGGGGTTGCAGGGCCTCGGCGCTCGAGAACCTTTGAGTATCGGTTTGAGGGGCGTGTGCAAGCAAAAGCCTAGGTTTAGGCTTTCTGGGGCTTGGAGGTTTGGGTATACGGACATATAGGGCATAGGAAATTTCGACTTTTTTCATGGACAGTGTGTCAGTTAAGAGGGGTCAACGGCTTTTGCTTTGGTTGGGCTTTGGGGGTGAGGGTTCAGGGTTTCAATGTGTGGTCACCGTCTATGGCCACTAGACAACCGACAGGCTACACTGGAGTCAAGTTTTTTCGGGGAACGGCTCCGAAACCCCGGAGGAGTGCGGGAATGCCTGGAGGTTTAACTGAGATGTACCCCTCGAGAGCAGAGCAGGAGGAACGAGCTGACCGGCATTTGGCCAAGCTGGAGGCCCTTTTTGGTTGTGGATTTGTGGCTTTGGGGTACCTGCTGAGGGAGTTTGATGGTCGACTTCCGAGTGAACTCGCGCTGGCTAGGGTTTGGGGTTTATGCATCAATACCCGGAGCGCTCATGAGCGCTTCCGATGTCACAGCACCTTCGATGATGCATGCTAACACTTTGTTGGCCATGCTTCTCGGCTTGGGTGAACAGTATGACAAAATCAGGTGAAGGCACTTCTGCCTGCGATTGGGGTCAGTTGATGCAGTCGGTCCAACCGACGGTGTAGCACTTTCTGGAGTGGAAGCTGCAGCATCAGTGCACTGCGGGTACGCTCTCCGAGAGACTCTAGGCCTCAAGTCAGGATCCGATCCCGTGAAGCCCAAAACCGACACGTGTCCAGATGAAGCTGAATGCCGATCCGAGGCCCCGGAAAACATCAAAACATCAAAATCCTAAACCCTGACCTGTAGATCCTGAGCAACCTCAGCGGACTGCATGTGCTTTTGGTCTTGGGTCTTGGGGCTTGTCGGGGTTCGGGTTTGGAGACTCTTTCACTCATCGTTTCTTAAA